ACCAATGGGACTGAATCGAGAACATTGCGCCAGGTACAATTGCCCATTGTAGACAATGGTTTGTGCTCATTGAAATGGGGCGCGTCATTCAGACCGGCGACACAACTTTGCGCCGGGTATTTGTTTGGTGGCGAAGATTTCTGTCAGGGTGATAGCGGTGGACCATTTAACTGCCAACTGGCCAATGGCGCGTATATCGCTCAGGGTATTGTCTCGTTCACCGATGCACGTGGTTGTGGTCTGGCCTTTTCACCCAGCGTGTTCACTCGAGTAGAGCCGTACATACCGTGGATAGAAAGCGTGACAGGGCTGAAATTTTAGTTTATTATGCTATTTGTTGCTTGTAATTTGAACGAGTCATGTTTGTTTTTTACTTTGATAATTATTTTTAAGTAGTAATTAAAATATTGAATAATAAAAATTTAGCAAATTTTATGTGAACATTATCCTTTGTTTAAATGTTTAAAATTTTCAGTTTTAAGATAAAAACTTTTAAATACTTAAAATTAATTAAATATAAAGTGTAGTTTTATGCACAAAATTAAATAATCCTATAAACTACCATTTTGTCTAAATTGTAGTAACAAATTGGTTCGTCTTATCTGCATTTTTCATTTGGTCCATGTTGTTAAAATCACACTTTTTTGATAAATCGATATTGCATAATTATTAAATAGTAAGAACTAAAATAAATATATTTTATTAATTGTATTCATTAAATTTGGGATTTATTTGTGTTTTCAATAAATGCCACAAAAGTTTTGCACAAACATCACAATTATTTTGGCACACAATAAAGTTCACTTAAATGTTATACAGTAATTGTATTTGATTTTAATAAATGTTACAAATATTTTGCACAATACAAGTTGCAAAATTCATTAGTGTTTCGTTTGGGTGCGTAAATTCAAATACCTATTATCTCTACAAATATCTATAAAATTGATATAATCAAAAGTCATTTAATAAATCTATAAAAAATGTTGCAAAAAAATAAATATGAACAAAAATATTATTATAAATATGCTTAAAAATTAGACTGTAAATTGATTTTTTCTTGCGCAAAAATTATACAAAGATAATAATGTTAATTTGTAAATTGGCAAGGCTGAAAAACAGGCAATAATCATAATTAAATAATTTAATTTTATAATAATTATTATTAATTTTTATAATTAAAATATATTGAATTCTGCATGCTGGAAAGACAATAAATCATTAGTTTAATTTACAAAATATGCATTTGTTATTTATATATAATTATTATTACCCTAGTGATCCATTTAATAAACACATTTTGGGAACATATTTGTTAAAATAACTGACAGTTAGCATTGATTTAATGATTAAATAGTTTTCAAAAATTTGGGCCACATTTATGTTCATTAAATCCATGAAATAATGAGAAATATAAATTTCATGTTGCACAGATTTTTAATAGTAATATAACAACATATATGTTACATGTTATACTAACAAACTAGCAAATTAATGTTGCATATATTGTGATTATTAAAATAATTAAAGGTGCTTTTAAATATATACAAACATGTAATAATTTAAACATTGAATTTAACAATAACTTTACTATTAATTCTTCACTTATTAAAACATACAACGATGTCATTTAGTGACAATATTCACATAGTTATAACAACCATAATGTGTTTATTGGGCAATGGGTTTGGTGAACAACAATGCGGTCGATCGATGGCCTCACGTATAGTTGGCGGCCAGACTGCCTCCCGGGGTGCGTGGCCCTGGATGGCCAAGCTCAATTACATGTTCAACACATCTAAAGGTCCGAACACTGACGGCGCTCAATGTGGAGGTGCGTTGATCAGCGATCAGTGGATACTAACGGCCGCCCACTGTACTAATGAATGGCCCGACGATTACAGAGTCAATGAGATTGCCGTTACATTTGTTGATACTGACGAGCGCTCCCAGTATTATGTTGACATCGATCAGGTTAGTTGAGATATATACATATTACTTCAAATACAGAATTTTAAAATATAATGGGTTTTGTTCTGTAAAATAAATTTCCAGTTACTTTAATATTGAATAAATTTTGCTTTGTATTCAGATTTATCTCAATAGATTTAACAAG